TTTTGGAAGGGTGGAGTAGCTTCTTTCTATTCTAGCCTCTAAACCCTTCCCAGAGCTCGCTGGTGTAGACTGGGGGGAGAGTGCATGAAATGGGAGTTCTCATTGTTTTCTTTACGCAATAGAATTGTTACTTAAGGTAGCGCTCTGCCCCCCATCCCTGGTACAAGGGACCTGTGGAAGGGAGGGAATTCTGCCCAGACATCCAGAAACGCGAGGCCCCGCCACCTCCAGTTTCACTTCATTCTTTGCAAAATAACCAGACTTCCAACATGACCTTGCCTCTCCAACTTCTGTGTGTGTTTACGATGCCAAAGAACCATCAGCAGCAGAATCAAGTTCCCAGGTTCTAATTAGTTCATTCATTCAACTAATGAGGTCAGGGGTGTTAACTATGTGGTTTCTGGAGGGCAAGGGCTGTGGGGTCTTCCTGAGGGAGATCAGCACTGTCTTCTCCAAGACTACAGCTCCAGAGACGCAACTGCACCCACCAGCCCCACCACCTCCACCATACCCGCATGTGCCTAGCCTGAGCTTGGCCCTTTGCATCTGTTACTAATGCTCAGCACTAGCTCTTTTTCCTGATATGCAGCCTGAGGCCAGAGGCTGAATCATTTTTCTCCCAGTGAGACCAAGGTAAAACATACACTGGGGCGGAAAAGAAATACTAAAATCTGTAGCCTGAGAAGCACATGAAAGGCGGAACAGAGTATTTCAAGGTTGACCTTGAGGTGGCCCAGGAATATCTATGCAACATTTATATTTACGTATGCTTAATATATACTGTGTAATATATTTTTACATTTAAATAAAAAGAGGTAAGTTGAATGTAGATTAGCTGGAGCTCATGCACACAAAGAAACATACATATCTCATAAATATCTCATACATATATCTACACACATATCCCATAGATAACTCATAGGTATATTTATGTTATTGTTTTCTTTATGTAATAAAGAAAATATAGATATATGAGGTATCTATGGGATATGTGTGTAGGTATATGTAGATCTATCTATGATATGTGTGTAAATATATGTAGATTTCATATCTATGATATGAGAGCTATCATAGATCTCTGTAGATGTATGTAGATCTCTCATATCTGTGAAATGTAGATATATAGATCTCATATATATGAGATTTCATATATATGAGATAGTCATAAGTGTAGATACATGTAGATATATCTCATATCTCATGCATATTTCATATATGTAAATACATATGTGTATGTACATATATGTACATGTTTCATATATGTAAATACATACATACACACATAAGCTGTATATGTCTATGAATACACATAATGTCTGCTACTCTGTGTCTAATGTGCTCATATTCCTAGGGACATTTCTCCTGGGCTGTGCTTTCCTTTGCATGCCCATAGCCTAGAAGGTTGTCAGGAGGATTCATTTTCCCAGAGGACAGTAGTAACCGGAAAAAAAATGAAATAAAATAAATGCTACCTGTAGTGAGCAGGTCTGTCCATGAGGTGGTGGTGTTAGTATAATGGAAGCAGGAGGGAATAAGGTCAGGGCAGAGAGAGGCCCTCTGTTGGACTGATGGTGGAAGGATAAATCCATGCCCCTCCACGAACTCCCACCACGAAGCCTGACAATGCCCGGCCACTGGCTGCCAGGGTGTAGGAGATTCACACACGCAGCTTCTCAGCAGCTCCTAGACCAGCTGGCCTGGAGGCTTGGAAGCAGTCCAGGCAGGGGACACAGGATAAGCCATCAGGAGCAACAGCTCTATCAAGTGGACTTGAGTAGAATGTTCTCATGGCACCTGGACACCCCTCACATTCTCTGGCCTGTGGATGGTTTTCTTTGCCACCCACTGAGGGCTACAAGAAGCATATTCCAGTCAACACACAAAGCCTGGCGCTGAGGCTCCTCCAGCTCAGCCTCCTGGGCAAGCTCTTCCACCCTTTCCACACACATCTGCAAGCTCCTGCTTTTGGAGTCCATAGAGATAGGACCCGAGCCCACAAAACATCTCTGCCTATTGAAAGCACTCCCAAACACCGCAATGGCTGCTAAAGGCTGAACCACACCAAACTAGATACTCCCTCTCTGCATGGTCTTTGAAGGGAGTGGAGATACTATGAAAACAATTCACCACCGAAGCTTTCCCTGGTGCCAATCTTGCTTTCTAGTTTCTGAAGTTACA